CTGGCACAAAGCTCCTAAAACCTTTGGAATTTTCTAAGTGATGAGATCAGCAAATGCATCTTTTGTTATGTTACTGAGTTGTTCATCAAAATACTGTATCCTTTTAGGAAGAACTTCCACGTGGCCAACGGGTGCATGGAAATGTACTAAATTCCTGTGGGTTTTACTTTAGACATTCACTCTAATTGCTCATAGAGTTGAGACCAATCTCACAATCTGTCACAAAGTAACTCACAGAGTATTTGTTGAAAATCTAAATGACCCAAAACAAGATAATATCCTGACTTCACTTTCTGAGGCTTGTCTTCTGTTTGAAAAACTCTATAGATCAAAAAATGTTGTCAATAACGGCAGAGGGACCTGCTCAAGTAAAGATAAACTGATGGAGAATAAGGATATGAGAATTTCCTGTTGTCAGTGTCAGAGCCAGCATTTGAACTTGCATGGTCTGACCCTAAACCCACGCACATGCTTAAGCATTGGGTCATACACCCTTGCATTTGGGAGAAGAACTTATATGGTGAAGGTTTTCCCACCTCTATCTTAGTCCAAGGAAATGATATTTATAAAGGTCACAAAATCCATTTGTAATAGGTTTGGATCAGAATCCAGCCTTTCTAATAAAATCCAGTCCTCATTCTCATAATATAGTCTACAAGCAGCTGGAGTTTCTAAAACATATTATGCCAATACATAAAGTATAAGTTTAGATATAAGAATAATGTCTTATGTTCAGCAGGCATATTATTTCCTCGCTTTGTGAGAGCCCTGAGCCATCCATTCTACCAGCTATATCCTAATGGCCAAACATCTCTAAAAATGTTCAGTGTGATGCCATACAAAGCATAAAGGGTAGAATCTGCTTAATTATTTCTGATTTTAGCTTTATTATTTTTCATATAATTGCTCAGAAAGTGACTCCATACATGTCTGCAATCTACTCACCAGATTAGACGCAACAGCTCCACCAATCCTGAAGGTGTCACCGTATCAATGTTCTCCATGGTTCTAATAACAGGTACAGTATTAGCAGATATTCTTGAAGTACACTTAAGAACAGAATATGGCAAAGAAGAGAACAGAATAGAAGGAAGGAGAGCCTGAAAAGTTGAACCAAAGCTTCATAGTGCTGTGTTTATGAGGCTTTTCCTTGATCAATCCTGTACTAATTGAAAAGCATGCTGTAATGTCGTCCTTGAAATGTAAAGCAAATAATTTTGGCCAGCATACATTTTTTTTCCTGTCAAACATTTCAAGGATTAGGGTCCTGTTGGCAGCTTAAAAGCCTCTGCCAAAGTTAATAGAATCTCATCTTTTTCTCTCACGTGGGTTCTGGCAAAAGATGTAGATCCTTGATAAGCGTCTTTATCTAATTGTAGCTCGTCTTACCATTATTGACTCTACTTTATGGAGGAGCAAATAAATTTCCTGAAGACCTGAAATATCCTGCAAAAAAAAGATATATTATTGCTTACCATTTTTGATCAGTATTACACAAAAGATTGATCGACTAATTCTAGGGAGCAGGCTTAATGATGATTTCTTAGGGTCCAGGTTTGTGGAACATTCTGTCAGAGCACATTGCACAGATTGGGAGAGGGCAGGAGAAAAGTATTAATTAAGGTAAGCTCTGAAGAAGCTACAAAGAGGGGAACCTGGAGGGAGCAATGCAAACCCACTTAAGGAGGGAGTGTACTACTGGAAAAAGGTTACACAGTTTGGAGTAAGATAGATTTCAGGTCAATTCCCAACTCTGTCACTTATTACCTCTGTGAACTTGGACATATTAGTGTGCGTGAAGCTCAATTTTCTTTTATAAAATGTGATTAAGAATAGCAACCTCTTAGGATTTTTATCAGGATTACATGAGAAATTCCGTGTAAATCCCTTACCTTGGTGCTGAACACACAGTAGGTCTATTAATTAGGGCACAAGGTAAGCTGTTGGAACTGATAGGAAACAAAAACAAAACAAAACTGCAGCGCCTCAAACAGATGGCAACATATTTCTATTTCATATGACAGTCTGGTGAGTAAGGGTCCTGGGAGTGTAGGCAGCTCTGCTCGTATGAAATTCAAAAGCAGACAGGTTCCTTTTATCATGTTCCTTTGCTGACACCTTAGGTGTTGTGTTGTCTGCATGTTCAAAGCTGGCTCTCACTCTCTCTCAGAGTCCAAGCAGGAAGCACAGGACACAATCCATTGATATATTTGACTTTACCCCTCAGGTCAGGAACAAGACAAGGATGTCCACTCTGACCACTTTTTTCAACAAAGTACTGGAAAGTCCTAGCCTCAGCAATCAGACAACAAAAAGAAATAAAAGGCATCAAATCAGTAAGGAGGAATTAAGACTTTCACTATTTGCAGATGGCATGAAACTCTATATAGAAAAGCCAAAAGACTTCCCCCAAAACTGCTAGAACTGATAAATTCAGTAACGTCGCAGGATACAAAATCAGTGTACTGAAATATGTTGCATTTCTCTACACCAATAACGAAGCAGTAGAAAGAGAAATTGAGAAAAGAATCCCATTTATAATTGCAGCCCAAATAGTAAGATACCTAGGAAGTGAATTTAATAAAGGGACAGTTTACAATATCAGGACAAGGTTAAAGGAAATAAAAAAGATTTGGTCAGGAGTTTCTGGGTTGGTGAACACATGGAGATTTGGGGGGGACAGAAGCACCTGGAGAGACCATGAAAGTTCTGTGCCCTTTCCCCCACACCTGGTCATATGCGTCTTCTCCAGCTGGCTGTTCCTGAGTTATATCCTTTCCTAATAGGCTGGTGATCTAACTTTGCAGAGGAGGAGCAAGATGGCGGAGGAGTAGGAGACCTAAATTTCGTCTGGTCCCAGGAATTCAGCTGAATAGGGATCAAACCATTCTGAACACCTACGAACTCAACAGGAGATCGAAGAGGACCGTAGCAACAACTCTCTGAACAGAGAAGCGACCACTTTCTGGAAGGTAGGATGTGCAGAGAAGTGAATCCAGCGCGATATTCGGGAGGATACACAGTGGGGGAGGGGGTCCCCGTCAGTCACTTCTGGCAAGTGGTAGAGCCATGGAGCACAAAATCGGAACTTTTAGAAGTCGGCTCCACTGAGGGATGTCACTCCAGTGGCTAAGCGGGGGGTGGAACCCTCGCAGGACAGCGTGGTCTGAGGACCCTCGGGGTCACAGGAAGACCGGGGGTGCCTGAGAGCGGCAGAGTTCCCAGGTTTCGGAGCAGGGATGCTGGCTGCAGAGCCAGAGCCGAGGCGTGGGCTCTCAGCTCAGGGTTGCCATAAACCATGATCCGGGGCACAGCCAGGCCACTGCTCCTCCAGCAGGGACCCAACAAGCATCAGATCCAGGGAGACTCCCCTTCCTCCCCCGGGAGAAGCAGCGCAGGAGTGCACCACAGGGATCTGCAGGGTTGGAGACTCCACACGGGGTCGTGCACCAGAGATAGAAATGCTCGGTCACAGGTGGGGTGAGCACGGAGTGTGGTGGGAGACCAGGGAGACGGGAGTGATTGACTGCTTTTCTCTGGGGGCGCACTGAGGAGTGGGGCCCTGAGTTCTCGGCTCCTCCGGGTGGAGATTGTGAGGCTGCCATTTTCACTCTCATCCTCCAAAGCTGTACCAAAAGGTTGTAGGGAACAAAAGCTCCCAAGAGCAAACCCGAGCAGATTACTTAGCCCAGACCCAGCAAGGGCGGGGCAATTCCACCTCTGGCAAAGACATTTGGGAACCACGGCAACAGGACCCTCCCCCAGAAGATCAGCAAGAACAGCCAGCCAAGACCAAGTTTAATGATCAATGAGAACTGCAAAACCCCAGCGCTAGGGGGATACAACACATAGAATTCATGGCTTATTTCTTATGATTCTTTAGTCTTTCAAAGTTAATTTTTTAAATTTCATTTTTTTCTATTTCTATTTTTTAGCTGAATTTTTCTTCTTTCCTTTTTCAACCAACATCTTATCAATTCCCTTTTTAAAATCTTTTTTTAAACTTTCATTTTTAAAGTCATGTTCTATCCCTTCATTATATTTAAACTTATCTTTTGTATATATATAAGTTTTTCTTTCTTTAAAATTTTGGGATACAGTTTCTTCTAACAGACGAAAATATACCGTAAATCTGGTGCATGACGTTGTCCTAGTCTACCCCTGATCACATTCTCTCCTTGTTTTTTAAAATTTTGTTTTGTACTTTTTTCAAACAACTTCTTATCAATTCCTTCCTTAAAATTTTTTTAATTTTCATCTTTACAGTCATATTCCATCCCTTCATTGTACTTACCCTATTTTTGTATACATATGTTTTCCTTTCTTTAAAATTTTGAGAGGTAATTTCTTCTAACAGATCAAAATACACCCCAAATCCAGTGTGTGGCTGTTCTATTCACCAGCCTGATCATATTTCTTTTTTTTCACCTTTCTTTCCCCCCGGTTTCAGGTATCTTCTGATTTGTTTAGTGTATATTTTTCTGGGGTTGTTGTTACCCTTTTAGCATTTTGTTCTCTCATTCACTATTCTTCTCTGGACAAAATGACAAGATGGAAAAACTCACCTCAAAAAAAAAAAAAAAAGAACAAGAGGCAGTACTGTCTACCAGGGACCTAATCAATACAGACATTAGTAAGATGTCAGAACTAGAGTTCAGAATGCCGATTATAAAGATACTAGCTGGGCTTGAAAAAAACATAGCAGATACTAGAGTATCCCTTTCTGGAGAAATAGAAGAACTAAAATCTAACCAAGTCAAAATCAAAAAAGCTATTAATGAGGTACAATAAAAAATGGAGGCTCTAACTGCTAGGATAAATGAGGCAGAAGAGAGAACTAGTGATATAGAAGACCAACTGAAGGAGAATAAAAAAGCTGAGGAAAAGACAGATAAACAACTACTGGATCACGAGGGCAGAATTTGAGAGATAAATGATATCATAAAGTGAAACAACATTAGGATAATTGGGATCCCAGAAGAAGAAGAAAGAGAGAGAAGGGCAGGAGTTATATTGGAGCAAATTATAGCAGAGAACTTCCCTAATTTGGGGAAGGAAACAGGCATCAAAATCCAGGAGGCACAGAGAACCCCTCTCAAAGTCAATAAAAATAGATCAACACTCTGACATCTAATGGTAAAACTTACAAGTCTCAGAGACAAAGAGAAAATCCTGAAAGCTGCTCAGGAAAAGAGGTCTGTAAACTTACAATGGTAGAAACATTAGATTGGCAGCAGAGCTATCCACAGAGATCTGGCAGTCCACAAAGGACTGCCATGATATATTAAGAGCACTAAATGAGAAAAATATGCAGCCAAGAATACTATATCCAGCTAGGTTGTTGTTGAAAATAGAAGGAAAGATAAAAAGCTTTCAGGACAAACAAAAACTAAAAGAATTTGCGAATACCAAACCATACTACAAGAAATATTGAAAGGGATCCTCTAGGCAGAGAAAGAGCCTAAAAGTAACATAGACAGAAAGGAACAGAGACAATATATAGTAATAGTCACCTTACAGGCAGTACAATGGCACTAAATTAATAATTTTCAATAGTTACCCTGAATGTAAATGGGCTAAATGCCCCAATCAAAAGACACAGGGTATCAGACTGGATAAAAAAAACAAGACCCATCGATATGCTGTCTGCAAGAGACTCATTTTAGACCAAAGGACACCCCCAGATTGAAAGTGAGGGGGTGGAAAACCATTTACCATGCTAATGGACATCAAAAGAAAGCTGGGGTGGCAATCCTTATATCAGACAATTTAGATTTTAAACCAAAGTCTACAATAAGAGGTGAGGAATGACGCTACATCATACTTAAAGGGTTTATCCAACAAGAAGATCTAACAATTTTAAATATCTAAGCCCCTAACATGGGAGCAGCCAATTATATAAGCCAATTAATAACAAAACCAAAGAAACACATCGACAATAATACAATAATAGTAGGGGACTTTAACACCCCCCTCACTGAAATGGACAAAAGATCAACAAGGAAATAAAGGCTTTAGATGACACACTGGACCAGATGGACTTCACAGATATAATCAGAATACATATTCTTTTCTAGGACACATGGAACATTCTCCATGATAGATCACATCCTGGGTCATAAAACAGGTCCCAATCAGTACCAAAAGACTGGGATCATTCCTTGCATATTTTTGGACCACAATGCTTTGAAAGTAGAACTCAATCACAAGAGGAAAGTTGGGAAGAACTCAAATACATGGAGGCTAAAAAGCATCCTACTAAAGAATGAGTGGGTCAACCAGGAAATTAAAGAAGAATTTAAAAAAAATCATGGAAATAAATTAAAATGAAAACACAACTGTTCAAAATCTTTGGGATGCAGCAAAGGTGGTACTAAGAGGAAAGTATTTAGCAATACAAGCCTTTCTCAAGAAACAGGAAACACTTCAAATACACAACCCAACCTTACACCTAAAAGAGCTGGAGAAAGAACAGCAAATAAAGCCTAAACCCAACGGGAGAAGAGACATAGTAAAGATCAGAGCAGAAATCAATGAAATAGAATCCAAAAGAAGAGTAGAACAGATCAATGAAACTAGGAGCTGGTTCTTTGAAAGAATTAATAAGATTGATAAACCCCTGGCCAGACTTAGCAAAAAGAAAAGAGAAAGGACCCAAATAAATAAAATCATGAATGAAAGAGGAGAGATTACAACCAACATCTAAGAAATACAAACAATTATAAGAACTCATTATGAGCAACTATATGCCAGAAAATTAGATAATTCTGAAGAAAGGCATGCATTCTTAGAGACTTATAAACTACCAAAACTGAACCAGGAAGAAACAGTAAACCTGAACAGACCCATAACCAGTAAGGAAACGGAAGCCGCCATCAAAAATCTCCCAACAAACAAGAGCCCAGGGCCAGGTGGCTTCCCAGGGGAATTCTACCAAACATTTAAAGAAGAATTAAAATCTATTCTTCTGAGACTGTTCCAAAAAACAGAAATGGAAGGAAAACTTCCAAACTCATATTATGAGGCCAGCATTAAGTTGATCCCAAAACCAGACAAAGACCCCATCAAAAAGGTGAACTATAGACCAATACCCCTGATGAACATGGATGCAAAATTCTTACCAAAATACTAGCCAATAGGATCCAACAGTACATTAAAAGTATTCACCACGACCAAGTGGGATTTATTCCTAGGCTGCAAGTTTGGTTCAACATCCACAAATCAATCAATGTGATACAATACATTAATAAAAGAACGAACAAGAGCCATATGATCCTCTCAATAGATGCAGAAAAAGCATTTGACAAAGTGCAGCATCCTTTCTTGATTAAAACTCTTCAGAGTGTAAGGATAAAGCACACATACCTCAATATCATAAAAGCCATCTATGAAAAACCCACAGCGAATATCATACTCAGTGGGGAAAAACTGAAATCTTTTCCCCTAAGGTCAGGAACGTGGCAGGGATGCCCACTATCACCACTGCTATTCAACATAGTACTAGAAGTCCTAGCCATAGCAATCGGACAACAAAAAGAAATAAAAGGCATCCGAATTGGCAAAGAAGTGAAACTCTCACTCTTTGCAGATGATACGATACTTTATGTGGAAAACCCAAAAGACTCCACCCCAAAATTGCTAGAATTCATACAGGAATTCAGTAAAGTGGCAGGGTATAAATAAATGTGCAGAAATCAGTGGCATTTCTATATACCAACAACAAGACAGAAGAAAGAGAAATGAAGGAGTTGATCCCATTTACAATTGCACCCAAAACCCATAAGATACCTAGGAATAAATCTAACCAAAGAGGCAAAGAACCTGTACTCAGAAAACTATAAAATACTCATGAAAGGAATTGAGGAAGACACAAAGAAATGGAAAAATGTTCCATGCTCATGGATTGGAAGAACAAATATTGTGAAAATATCTACGCTACCTAGAGCAATCTACACATTTAAAGCAATCCCTATCAAAATACCATCAACTTTTTTCAAAGAAATAGAACAAATAATCCTAAAATTTGTATGGAACCAGAAAAGACCATGAATAGCCAGAGGAATGTTGAAAAAGAAAAGCAAATCTGGTGGCATCACAATTCCAGACTTCAAGCTCTATTGCAAAGCTATAATCATCAAGACAGTATGGTAGTGGCACAAAAACAGACACTTAGATCAATGGAACAGAATAGAGAAGAACCCGGAAATGGACCCTCAACTCTATGGTCAACTAGTCTTTGACAAAGTAGGAAAGAATGTCCAATGGAAAAAAGATAGTCTCTCCAACAAATGGTGTTGGGAAAACTGGACAGCCACATGCAGACAAATGAAACTGGACCCTTTCCTTACACTAAACACAAAAATAGACTCAAAATGGATAAAGACCTAAATGTGAGACAGGAATCCATGAAATTTCTGAAGAGAACACAGACTGCTTTGACCTCAGCTGCCACAACTTCTTCCTAGAAACATCGCCAAAGGAAGGGAAGCAAGGGCAAAAATGAACAATTGGGACTTCATCAAGATAAAAAGCTTTTGTACAGCAAAGGAAACAGTTGACAAAATGGGTATTAAAGAGGGTCTCTGTATTGAATGGAGCACTGAGTGTTATATGCAAACAATAAATAATGGAACACTACATCAAAAACTTACAATGTAATGTATGGTGATTAACATAACATAATAAAATAAAATTAAAAAAATAAAAGCAAAAAAAAGACAACTGACAGAATGGGAGAAGATATTTGCAAATGACATATCAGATAAAGGGCTAGTATCCAAAATCTATAAAGAACTTGTCAAACTCAACACCGAAAGAACAAATAATCCAGTCAAAAATGGGCAGAATGCATGAACAGACGTTTTTCCAAAGAAGACATCCAAATGGCCAGCAGACACATGAAAAAATGGTCAACATCACTCAGCACCAGGGAAATCCAAATGAAAACCTCAATGAGATACCACCTCACACCAGTCAGAATGGCTAAAATTAACAAGTCAGGAAACAGCAGATAATTGTCAAGGATGCAGAGAAAGGGGAACCCTCCTGCACTTTTGGTGGGAATGCAAGCTGGTGTAGCCACTCTGGAAAACAGTATGGAGGTTCCTCAAAAATTTGAAAATAGAGCTACCCTACAACCCAGGCATTGCACTAATGGGTATTTACCCCAAAGATACAAATGTAGGGATACGAAGGGATATGTGCACCCCAATATTTATAGCAGCAATGTCCACAATAGCCAAACTATGGAAAGAACCTAGATGTCCATCGACAGATGAATGGATAAAGAAGAAGTGGTATATATATATACACAATGGAATATTATGCAGCCATCAAAAAATTGAAATTTTGTCATTTGCAACAATGTGGATGGAACTAGAGTGTATTATGCTAAGTGAAATAAATCAATCAGAAAAAGACAAGTCTCATATGACCTCACTGATATGAGAAATTTGAGAAACAAGGCAGAGGATCATAGGGCAAGGGAAGGAAAAACAAAACAAGATGAAACCAGAGAGGGAGACAAACCATAAGAGACCCTTAGTCTCAGGAAACAAACTGAAGGTTTCTGGAGCGGTGGGCGGGTGGGAGGGATGGGGTAGCTGGATGATGGACATTGGGGAGCATATGTGCTATGGTGAGCGCTGTGAATTGTGGAAGACTGATGAATCACAGACCTGTACCCCTGAAATAAATGATACATTATATGTTTAAAAAAAAAAGATTTGGTCAAATGTGCAAGGGGAGGCCATGGTGCAGAGCCTCTGGCCTCTTTCTTGAAGGTAGAAGAAGGAATATTCACTGGAATCTGTAGGAGCAGCCATTCAACAGTGCTTGGGATATTTGGCAAAGCGAAGCAACAACACACAGCAGTCCTAGAATGAACAGAACCAGGGAAATAAACACCCAACCTCATTCCCCTCCTATCCTCTGATCAGTGTCCCCTAGTGGGGGGGACACCATCCATATCTTGATCTCAAGTATGAGTGATCCCATGGAGACTGTTCAGATCAGCCTCCCAGAGCACAGAGTATAACAGAGGGGCAAAGAGGAAAAAAAAAAAGATTACCCCCAGTTCATTACTTTTCTCCATCAGAAGCCGTTTTTGTTATTTGTCCTGAAGAAAAAATAAGTTCCCCTACCAGACAACATACTAACTCTCATTGGCTATTGTGTATTCTCAGAGCAACGTCAATTTGGTCACACTCCGATTGGACAACGAAGTGCAGTTACTATCCCCACTCGTCATACAAAGTAAGAGGGAAAAGGAAGGGATAATGGACAATGAACTAAAATAAATCATAGCTGCTATTGGTCCCTCTCCTTTTTCCATCTTTCTCTTACCTTCTGCTACTAACTTGGGCGGACTGGATTCTTTACATGATTGGCTAGCCCAAACTTCATTTCTTCAGTATCTATTGGTCCCGTCTTTATTGGTTTACCATGTTTTTCCATGATTAAGACTGGTGGATGGAAGAGGACCAGGCCCTGCCTTAGGGAATATCCCTGGTTCCATGTAGTTCTTCTTGCTGTTTTACCGCAGCCCAGTTTCCCTTCAGTGATTGAGATAGAACACCCTGACCAATGAAGAGGCTGTCTTTTTTATTTTATTTTATTTTTTTCAGGACTGTCAGGAGATAAACATTACCAAGTTGTGGTCCCAGCTTCTCATTTAACAGAACTACATTATTGTCAAAACCCTGCCCTCGTTAGGTACTAGAACCTTTAAATAAGCTGAAGTCTTCATGATAAAAGGATAGAAACAAGCATTTTTACAGTTCTTTATGTGGAGTAATAGCGAGAGAGGCCATTCCCACTTCTACCCCCTTTGGTTATGGGGAAGAAGGTAACCGTGCAAAGGATTGTCTCCTATAGGTGATCCTATAACTGAGCCTTTAGAAAGCAAACTTACCATTATACAAAGACAGTTGCTTCTGTGTGACAGAGCATGAGAAAAGGCAATATAAGGGGGGAGCTCAGGGCATCCCTCCCTTCCTCTGCTGTGAAAGAGATGCGCCTGTGCAGAGCAATGTTGTCTCTTATACTCTGGCAATTGTACGATAGTTTTTAAGTCCAGGTATGGGAATTAACTCCCATCTCTGTGATGTACACGTCTTGCTAAGTCATTTATGGTATTTCCTACCTCCTGCTCACCAAGCATAATTAGGACAAAATTATTAAGGACAATAAGTATAAAGATAATAATTCAGTTTGGGTTGTTATAATAGAACACCATAGACTGTGTGGCTTAAACAACAAACACTTTTGGTCGCAATTTTAGAGGCTGGAAGTTCAAGATCTAGATGCCTGTAGATTCAGCATCTGGTAAGAGACCTCTTCCTGGTTTTCAGATGGTCACTTTCTTGCTGTATCTTCACATGGTGAGAGAGAAAGAGTGTGAGTGAGCTCTGGTCTGTCTTCCTCTTCCTTTAAGGGCAGTAATTCCATTATTCCATTCATCTAAAGTTAAATTACCTCACAAAGACCCACCTCTAAAGACCATCACGTTGGAGGTTAGGGCTTCAATATATCAGTTTTGTGGGAACACATACAGGCAATCCATCGCACTTATACAGAAGCCTGGGAGGTCAACTGATTCTCTTTTAGTGATACAAATGGGAACAATAATTTTTGGTCATGCTGATTTTCTGTAGTAACTACAATCTTTCCAGAACCATAGCTATACCAATGGCATCGCTATCATAGTCAGTTTGCCGTAACCTCTTGCTCCTCAAAATGTAACAGGCAGCCAGGAGCATTTGTATTTATTTACTGGGATCGTGTTAGACATATGGACTCTGACACTTCTTAGACATTTTCCATTAGAATATGCATTTTAGCAAGATTCTCAGGTGATTTTTTTATGCAGATTGTTGTTTGGAATGATAAGTAAAAACTAATCTTTTTTTTTTTTTTTTTTGTCAGTATCCATTTTGGTCTTGGGCCAGTCAACCAGTCAGTTTAGTGAGGATCTTAGCGAAATCAACATTCCTATTTTTCATCACTTTGTGGAGGGGAGGTGTTCTAATCTCTGCCATTCCCCAAAGAGGCAATATTATTGTTGGTTTCCTATATTGCATATTGGTGTGAATGTGGAAGACATTTCCACTCATATTTTTCTCCCCTCTACCATGATAGGCATCATGTCAACATTCAGAAACAAATGTCTCCTTAAATATGTCAAATACCTTAGTAGTCTGCTTATCCATGTCATTTCTTGGAATTTTGGAATCAGTGAGCTATTACAAAGACCTCATCAATCAAAACACTTTGAATACCATGCTTGTTACTAATTGCTGCCATTTTATCCTAGTGACCACTTTGTCTCTGTTTTTAATTGCCATAAGATGGTCTCTACCTACTATGATCCCCTTCTTCTCATTTAGATCAGGAACCCAAACTGTTTGTGGTATTCCCCATTTTCATAGCTAATCTAGAGAGGAGCCACCTCTGAATTCTGCCTCTGTCTCCAAGGTAGGCTTTACTTCTACTGTGAAGACAACACCTTCCTGGATTCAACCATTCCAGTAGGTAAGGCTTAAGACCAGGTTGGCAGTTTGCATACAATAGACCCACTTCAATATTCTCACCTTTGAGCCTGTGTACCCCTTCCTTTAGAATATGCCAGAGCACAGCTGATATTTCCTTTTCATTGACAGGAGGTGAAACAATTAGCCCCTCCCCCAGAATACAAGCGCCACTCCCCAGGGCTCAAGCTAACACTTTAAATCTAGAGGCTTTAGTAAGTACACCCATGCCAATAATGCACTGTGTTTTATATGCCTTCTCTAACACCTTCGGCATACAGTCTCATTATAATTGCCAAGTTCATGTTGATCAGTTTTGACCATGCCATGCAAGTCTTTCAGTATAGAGGCTATTTTCTGTCAGCTCTTCTTTTATATTAACAATGTGCTAGGAACTATCATTGTGAACTTGAAGGAAAATGAGGGGTTGTCAGGGTGGGTTCTGGGGAGAATCCCCTTAAAAGGCAACTGCCCGAGATAGAGCAATTTAAAGATTTTTCAAGTAGGAAAAAACCTAGCTCCTTCATTCAGAGGGGATATAGACTGCTTTGACCAGAAGGGGAAATCCCACATAATTTGAGAGTTCGATTTGTCAGCTTCAAATGCCCCAGACCCAATATCCGGGTCTCAGTGGTTTTCTAAAACTTCCCTTACCCTACCTGGCATTACCTTACCTGGTGGGGAGAAGCATTGAATTGGTGTTGTGCTTCCATGGCCCATGAAATCAGCCTCTGGACCTGACCCTCATTGTTATCTTCCTCACAGAGATTTTCTGGCTTTGCCTTCATAATTTGAATTAGACTTCCAAGGTCATCATTTTGGTATTTTTCCTGTGCATTATTTTTAGGCCAACTGAAGGAACTAGCTTACCTTACAATCCTCACATTTACTATGATCTCCTGAGCAACTAACTCGGTGCCATACTCACTTTATCTCTAGATGCTTTTATCTGTGTCCTTTTTTTCTCCCAGCAAGGAAGGCACTGAATATGTGAGCAAATACATCTCA